ATATATATATATATAAATAATACACACACAATAACTTTTATAAATTAATATTTTCATAAAATATTTTCATTTACAGAATTTAAAAGCGTTCTTGGATAGCGCGACAAATGGCTTCATTTATATGAGTCTGGGATCAAATACGAAAAGCAAATTATTACCAAAGAAAATATTGGAGATCTTTGCCAACACTTTTGCCAATTTATCTTATAAAGTACTGTGGAAATTCGAAAACGATAGCTACCATGTTCCTCCTAATGTTTTTATTTCAAAATGGACCCCGCAGCAGGGTGTGCTGGGTAAATTGAAGCAGACAAGCTCGTATTTTATAAAAATTAATACTGAGATTATTAATTGTTTCTTCTATCCTTATTTTAGCTCATCCGAACATCAAGCTCTTCATTTATCAAGGCGGGCTGCAGAGCACCGAAGAAGCGGTTCATTACGCCGTCCCGCTCATAGGAATACCGTTTGTCTTCGATCAGGTGTACCAAGTTATGAAAATGGTTTCTCTGGGAGTTGCAAGATACCTAGACATAGTCCAGCTTACGGGGTCAGAATTGTACGATGCTATAATAGAAGTCATAGATGATAAAGGGTAATTACAATGTCAATTATTAGTGTGCGCGCGCATACAAACATATATGATAATGAACTCCATGTGGACAGAGAACAACAATTGCGATGTTCACATATAATAACTAACATGCACACATATTTGGCGCTCTGTTTGCAGATACAAAGATAGGATGTTGGCGCTGCGTGCTCTCACAAAGGACAAGCCCTATGATAGCTTAGAGAATGTTATATGGTGGATCGAGTTCGTAATGCGTCACAATGGTGCACCTCATTTACGTTTCAATGGAGTCGATATCGCGTGGTATCAGCAATTCGATTTAGATGTCATTGTATTCCTGACGATAACATTATTCTTAGTTTTATGCGCTATTTTAGCCATTGTAGGATGGGTTTCGAAAAAGTTATATAATACGTATTATAATGATATAAGCAATCATTACGTGTGGTTTAAAGATAAGACAAAATCAGAGTAATCAAGTTGCATACAGTGAAAAAACATCCAAGTCATCATTATGTACTTTTTCATTTTTCCTAATATAAACTTGAGCGTAATTTGATTTAACAATAGAATTGTTGTTTGAAATAGAATCAAACTATGAAATAGGTGTGAACCTCTTTTATTCCTCGGGCATTTGCATGTGAATTTTATAGTGCTCATTTATACGAAAAATAGAGAAGCATGGAAGTCGGAAAAAGTGAGAGAGGGTAAATTTCGGCAAGAGGAGAATACTGCGAATATAAAACTGGAGGTTGAGTGAAATGGGTTTTGTAAACGCACGAAATTGCATCCCAAGGCCCATTATATTCATTTGTGCGTAAGTACTTTTGCAGACTACGAGATATAGAAAATGAAGAAACTAATAAAAGCAAAACCAAAGAAGTTAATTACATTACATTCTATAATTACAATATATAATTAGATCTGTCCGCATTGTTTAAAATCCCCGAAAATTTTCAAACTTAAAAAAGTTAAATATATATATATATATA